TCTGGCGGCTGTGCATTAGTTTGCTCCGGGGCAAACAGCCATACTCCCCCCCCCCGCATTTTCCGGCCCGTGTGACCGGGGCCACAGAGGTTCTGATCCTATGAAGTCAGTGATATGAAAGGAAGCATGAGATACCCAGGGTTGGTTATCCTAAAATAGGAAGAATAATTCTGTATTTGTTTAATTTACTTTACAACCCGCCTTTCCCACTGAGACTTGAGGCACATTCCACGGTAACCCGAGGAAAACAGAATTGTATGCCAGTCTTTGCGTAGTTATTTGGCCAGAGTCTCTGCGGCACTGCTAGCCGTAAAAAGGGGCTGGGAGCCCTGTGGGACGTAATTCTCGCCTCTTTCCCAGTCACTGGAAATGTATCAAAGACCTGTCTTCTGATCCATCAGCCTAGATCGTTCATACCGCTTCCAGCCTCTCCTTCATGAGGGCTAGGAACCTGCTAAGGCAATAGCCGAGTTTCTCCAGGAAGGTGGTGCTTTCCACGGCCTGTCCTCTTCCTCCGTTTTTTGTGAAGCAGCCCTGATTTGCCTTTTAGCGGCTAGAGGTGCCTGGAGGTGTTCCTTGCCTGTGCTGTGATGTGCATTACCTTGGCCTGCACAGGACCTCGTTTTCCTGTTCTCCAGGGATCTCGACAGCCTGCCCAGTTCTCTCTCTTCCCAGTCTGCTCCTTAAAGCAGTTCTGTGAAGTAACTTGCCAGAATTGTGTGGGCTTGATTCAGACACGAGGGAAAGGGACTTCTGAGCCTTGCCAAGCATGTGTGCGTTTCAGGGCAGGCCCAGTTTTTTACCAGTATTCAGTGAGAGCTCGTGCATAAAATCTTTTGCCAGGATATCTCCAGCTGCTGAAAGCACTGTTTATCTTACTGGGTGATTATATTATCTGTCATGTTATCTCTTCCCCACACTCTAGTGTACAAATCAATAAAGCATATGTATGGTGGATTTAGAGTTGCCAACTTTGGCTTGAGAAATTCTGGAAGATTTTGAGGAGGAGGCTCAGTGGGCATGTGATGCTGTAAAGTGTGTGCCCTCCAAAGCTGCCATTTCCTCCAGGGGGACTGATCTGTCTGGCCCCCAGTATATCCATCTAGGAGGTACCAGCCTCAGGATGAGGCCTGGATTCCCTGGGGGCTAGCAAATAATGCGGAGGATGGAATACTCCCGAGTGGTATGAGCTGGATGCATGTGCATTTTGGATCCAGAGCTTTGATATTGCTAGTAAATTAGTGTTGCCAGGTCCCTCTTGGCAACTGGCAGGGGATGGGGGGACTTACCAGGAGCAGCAGGGAGGCCCGTCTGATGTGCAACAGCAGGTCTGTGTCACTGCTCACATGACCTAGAGTGACATCATCACTTCTGGGACGTCGGGGCTACACTCTGGTATTTGGGCAAAAAACTCTATGGTAAATTTGGCTTCTGCCATGGAGTTTTTACCCAAATACCAGAGCATCGCCTTGATTGCCCAAACGTGATGATGTCACTTCTGGATCATGTGGGCAGTGGCGTAGACAGATCACTGCACTGCCTCTTTTTCCGAGTAAGTTTCCCCCTGCCGGCCAGCTGATTGATGGCGGGGAGGTGGGGCCGGTCAGTGGGGGACCCCCACCTCCACTGGGGGGTGTGTCTAGTAACCTTACAGTAAATATTAAGTCCAAATCTGGGCCATTGTGCAGAGGCACGAAATAGGTGTGCCACTAAATAGCGGAGCCAGTTTGGTGTAGTCGATAGGAGCACAGACTGTAATCTGGGAGAACCGGGTTTGATTCCCCACTCCTCCACTTGCAGCTGCTGGTGTGATCTTGGGTCAGTCACAAGTTCTTTCAGAGCTGTTCTCTCAAGGGCAGTCCTCGAAAGAGCTCTCTCAGCCCCACCTACCTCACAGGATGTCTGTTGTGGGGAGAGGAAGGGAAAGGAGATTGTAAACTGCTCTGACTCCTTTGGGTAGTGAAGGGCAGGGTATAAATCCAATCTCTTTCTTTTTCCTCTTCCTCTGTACAGTGTATGACATATCCTTTTTCATTCTCAGGAGAACTCTGTGAGGTAGGCTAGGCAGAGGGAGAGAGAGAGAGAGAGAGAGAGAGAGTGTAGGGGTGCTGCTTATGGTCTCCTTTCTTGTTTTGGCAGATGTGGAAATCCCCATGGGCTCTGGTTTTGGCCTGAGACTTGTGACGGTGCAGAGATTTGAATTTGGCCCCAGGCTCTGTGGTCTTTGTGTTTGTGAGAGCTGCTGGTCTCCTTTCTTGTTTTGGCAGATGTGGAAATCCCCATGGGCTCTGGTTTTGGCCTGAGACTTGTGACGGTGCAGAGATTTGAATTTGGCCCCAGGCTCTGTGGTCTTTGTGTTTGTGAGAAGCTGCTTTTCAGCTATCTGGAAAAGCTGTCAGAGCAACTTAGAAGACAATAATGTATTTAATGTTTAGTTCAGGTTTCTGTCCTTTAGAAGCCTCAGGTAGGATGAATCTTATCTTCCGGGCTTCTTGAAGATAGCAGCAGGTCAGTCCCACGGGAAACCAACATACAGCTTCTACTCCCATGCACTCCAACAACATACACACACCCCTTAGGAATCCAAAATGACAAGCGAAGGTGAAGAGAAACAGAACTTAAAGAAATCGAAAGTTAGCCTGAGCTTGACACATGGGCTCTTGTTTATTTTTATTCATTTATTTATTCTACTCTTCTTGCTGAGATTCAGCTTGGATGCCAAGCTGTAAAACAACGTCCTTGCACCGCCTAAAACATCCAGGATGCAATGCAGTTGAACAGAATGACAAAAGTCAGAACTGAAATGGGAAAGGGAAAAAGGTAGCGGACAAAATGTTATCATAGACTGTGCAGAAAATCTAGATTCAAGTCTCAATAGTACTGTAGAGACCAACAAGATTTTGGGGTTATAAACTTTCAAGACTCCCAAGCTCCCTTCGTCAAATTGCACGAGGGGAGCTTAGACTATTAGAAGGTTATACGCAAAAAGTCCTGTTGGTCTCAAAGGTGCTACTGGGATCTAGCTGTTCTGTTGCAGACCCACAAGGCTGTCCTCTGAAACTGTGCAGCAAATACTAAACTGGCTGCACTACAGATCCCCCCCTGGGCCGGGTGGTCTGCCCCCAAGAGTGCACAAAGAGCTTTGTAGAGAGCTTGCAGAGCCTTTGTCCATCAACTAGTGCAGCAAATACTTAACTGGCTGCACTAGATGACTACAGATCCCCCCGGGCCAGGTGGTCTGCACCAATGTTCCCTCTAAGCTGTGGAGTCTTGTGAGCAAAAATTCTATTTTGTGAGTTACTGGCATGAAAGTTGTGAGCGAACGATTTGGCTGTTGCATAAATTAGCCATCCTTCCTGAGCTAAGACAAAAATGTGTGAGCTGTGATCCGGGGAAGTCAGCACGGATTTGTCCCCAACAGGTCCTGCCAGACCAACCTCATTTCCTTCTTTGATTGAGTGACGAGCTTACTGGATAGAGGGAATGCTGTTGATTTTGTTTACCTGGATTTCAGTAAAGCTTTTGACAGGGCTCCCCATGATGTTCTGATGGGTAAACTAGAGGACTGTGACTGGGACTGTAGGATAGTTAAGTGGATAGGGAGCTGGCTGGAGAACTGCACTCAAAGAGTAGTTGTTAATGGCATTTCATCTGGATGGAGGGAGGTGTCCGGTGGAGTGCCACAGGGCTCGGTTTTGGGCCCAGTACTCCTCAATATTTTTATAAATGATCTGGATGAGGGTGTGGAGGGGGCTACTCATTAAATCTGCAGATGACACCAAATTGGGAGGAGCAGCAAAAACACCAGAAGATAGAGATGGAATTCAACGAGAACTGAACATGCTGGAAAAGTGGGTGGATGTGAACAAGATGCAGTTTAACAAGGATAAGTGCCGAGTTCTACATCTGGGTAACAAAAATTAGGAACATGCATACTGGATGAAGGATACACTTCTGGGTAGCAGTGTGTGTGGACAAGAGCTTGGGGTAAGGGTGGACCAAAAGTGAAATATGAGCAGCCAGTGTGATGCAGCAACAAAAAAGGCTAATGCGATCTTGGGGTGCATTGGTCAAGCTGTACCTTGGAGTATTGTGTGCAGTTCTGGAGGCCTCACTTCAATAACGATGTGGACAGAAGGGAGCGGGTGCAGAAGAGAGTGACGAGGATGATCGGGGCCTGGAAACCAAGCCTTACGATGAAAGGTTGAGGGACAGACCTCTTCAGTCTAGAGAAGAGGAGGTTGAGCGGGGCACGGGGATGGGGGACATGATTGCTGTCTTGAAGCATTTGAAGGGCTGTCACTTAGAGGAGGGCAGGGAGCTGTTCCTGTCGGCAGCAGAGGAGAGGACTCGCAAGAATGGTTTTAAATTAAGGGCGGGAAGCTCCCGACTGGATATGAGGAAAAACGTTTTTACAATAAGAGTTGTGCAACAGTGGAATCAGCTGCCTAGGGAGGAGGTAAGCTCCCCCTCCTTGGCACTCTTTAAGCAGTGGCTGGAATTATAAAATGAGAAGACAGTGCACTAAAGAGCAGTGGTAATCGATAGAATAACATTGGAACAGACTGCAATCCTGCCCCTTGTATAAAAAGCAGTGCTCAGACCTATTCTGCTTCAGCAGAGATGTTTTGCGATGTGCTCTCCGACCATATCCCGGGTACACTGTTTTTTTCCCTCCCCCCTCCAGTACAAGCAAGTGGAGCAGTACATGTCCTTTCACAAGCTGCCTGCAGACTTCCGGCAGAAGATCCACGACTACTATGAGCATCGTTACCAAGGCAAGATGTTTGATGAGGACAGCATCTTGGAGGAGCTGAATGAACCTTTGCGAGAGGTAAGCAAAGCCCCAAACTGGTGGCACATGCTTGGCTCATCAGCAGATCCAAAGGGTGGTCACTGTTAGGGGTGGAGGCTGGAGTCCTGTTCAGATGTTGGAGAATGAATGGGCGGGGTTGGAGGTCAAAGTAGCAAGTTAATTGGGTCGTGAGTATAGAACCCCTGCACCGATGGTTCTCCATTTAGTATCCATTCATCATCCTTGTTATAAAGCTCCAGCATTTTTAGTTGACCAGCACTGCTTTTTACTTGAAGAACACTGTGACAACACATTCAAAGAAGGCAATTATTGGACCAAAAGTCTATACTTTAGAACCACTGGGCAAGTGATTGCACTTTTAAAGATCTCATTTGCATATTTGTTCTGTGCCTGGTGGTTTTATTCTGGAAAAACTTGTTTTCTGGTCCATATTGAATTTATATTTTGTATCCATTCTGATTGTGTCTACATGAGTGTATTATATTTTTATAGCCATCTTGCCACTCAATTGTTTGACCTCTGAGGAAGGCCTATGCAGGCCGAAACGCGTCAGGTCAGGTTTTTAAAGTCCGTGTGTATTGCTATGTCATTTATATATTTGATGTGAATGGGCCCTTATATATGTTTTAAATTTGTACTTAATAAATACATGTAGCTTTTTCTATAAATCTTTTACATTTAGTTTTTAATATTGGCCCTCTTTTTCACATTTTACTAACCTTTGTTAGGTTCTGAATTTTAGTGTTAAGGTTCAATTTTTTGCCCTTTCTGTCCCTGCTTCTCCATTTAGTAGTACAGATGTAAAACTTCTGGTAATTACTGTACCAAACCACTTATCCCTGGCCAGTTACCCCCCTGTACCTTGGAAACTTTGTTTTATTTGCTTAGAGAGAATGATCCTAAGATTACTTCGGCAGTAGCAAAATTTGTTTCAGTCCTTTTATCCCTTGCATCAAAAAAGATGAATAAGAATTTTCTGCTGCCCAGGATTTGTAAATTGACGAGCATCCAAGGGAATGATAAAGAATGAAAATAAAAACTGAATCATGTGCACCCCTTCTTTTCCTGACAAACCTAAACTTATTTTACTGCTTTGGTAACAAAAAAGCACACAATTTATAGGTTAGCCTATAAAATTGTACTGTTTGGCATATTGATGGACTTCAGAAGTGAAATTACTAACATACCCAGTACTTGAGCAGCCAGTTATTATACTTTGTGCCACCTTGGCACGGGGATTGTAATTTTTTTCCATCTGCATGGTAGGAAAAGTATAAGTTGAAATGAGAAAACAAATTTTGTACTAAGGAAGAGAGAGTGTATTATTTGGACAGGAACAGGTACACAGAGTCACAAAAGCACTACCCGCATGTTCTGATATCAAGTTAAAGTTTAACACGGAAAACACAGAAATCTTAAGGACATTATAGCATTTTAATTGTTGCCGAGATTACTCACATTTAAACATGTCCTTGGAGAAGAAGTTTTTATTTTTCTAGCGCTATATGTCTAGCCTAAACATTTCATGCTACAGATTTTGTCTCACAAAGCATTTCAGTCATACCTGAAGAGACTATTTCATTTGAGGCTTTTTTCTCCCACTGCTTCCCTGAATTTCCCAACTTTTCCATCGACAAAAAAATTCGGGGGGTGGGGGAAGGAAAGAGTAGGGGGGAGGAAAGATTGTTTTCTCCTTGAGTGTTTCCCTGCCTTCACATGTCGAGGCAGTTGGGAACTTGCCTTTCCCCAGAGTCGCTAGCCTGCCCAGAAAGCATCAAAGACGTTCATTAACACAAGAGGCTGGGGGCAGCCGGTGCCTCCGACCCCCTCCAATGCACATTCATTTTCTGACCTTACACCATCTGAAAGGGGTTTCTTAGGGGAACAATGTTTGTTTCTCCTTCCTTCCTTCCTTCCTTCCTTCCTTCCTTCCTTCCTTCCTTCCTTCCTTCCTTCCTTCCTTCCTTCCTTCCTTCCTTCCTTCCTCCCT